TTTCTACTATCTTTTAACATTAGAAATTTCATTAAAACAGCTTTGATATAATCCTTGCTTGAACGGAATCCGGAATTTTCTGGAAATTCCAAAGAAACAAACAGCGATTTCAATTCACTGAACAACTCGTCTAAACTCAGCAGGTCAATATCTTGAGGAGTTTCAGATTTAAGTTTATTTTCAATATTAAAAAATTCATTGTAATCTTCTTCTGCGTAGCCTTCGTACTTCTCTATTTCTTCATTTATTCGATCGTCACTAATGACCTTTAATTTGTCAAAAATTTTCAAAACTCTGGAATCATTAAGTTCTCTTCTTAATGAAATACGAATCTTCATTGATTTTGTGCCCTCAATAATAGAATTAATTAATAATAAGGTAATCAAAGAGTAATTTTTTAAATTAAATTCATTTTCTAGTCTGGCATTATTTCCACCAGTGAAGTATTTGTCTAGAAATGATTCAACAGAATTCAACCAGGGTTGAAATCTCACAAAATCACCAAGTAAATCTTGCAAGCTTACCATACTGTCTAAGATACAGGGTAAAAAATCTGCATTCTTATAATACGACAAGAAAATTAAAACTTCTGTCACTAATATCCTAGTAGCTAATCGTGGAGAAACCAATGAAAATATCATGGCCCGAACGACATGGGACTTGTTTTTTATTACTGTAGACGAATTAGAATTAGACGATGATTCATCAATTTCTAATTTGTCTTCATAATCCGAAATTTCAGTATTTAATACACTTTTCAAACAATTCACTATAATAAATTCTTTATCAAGTTCTTCATTAGACTTGATACTTTTTTTGTTAACTCTTGTAAGAATAACAGACAATGCAGTTTCTCCTTGTGCATCACTAAAGTTGCGGCCCCAAGTATTTCCCAGTTTTGATACCGTTTCATTCAACTTCTTCTCAAGTTTTTTGTATTCCTTGAATGACAATTTATTAGAAATAATCCTTGCTACGTACCATTCAGGTGATCCATCTTTTAACTTTTGCTTTTTACTCAACGGAAAATTCCCTTGTTTTGATATCGGTAATCTAGGCTGCTCATTTTCTAATATTGGCCCCGTCGAAGTATATTTTGATTTATCAAGATTTATATCTGATGTCTTTTCAGAAGTATTAAGCTTTAGAAGAGTTTGAATTGAAGAATGTTGTTTCGCATTTTCATTGCTTAAGGCATTACTTTCAAGTAAGATGTTACTATTCCTTTGATCTGACGGGAAATTAGGACCATAATCTTGACTAATGGACCGAGATTTATATTTATCAGAAGGTGCAAAAAAAGAAGATGATGATTTTGTTAGCGACTTCAAATCAAAATCAGTATTTGATTCATTCTCGTTCAATAGTAACTCCCACTTTCTTGTAGTAGGTTGTCTTCTCAATGTTTTCAAAGCTTTTTCAGAAAACACCCTGGTGGACAACAATTTTTCAAAAAGCATATTAACAACTTCTGGTTTAGGAACTTGATTCTTACTCAAAGTAATAGCAATAAAAGACTGCAAGGAATGACTCAATTTGTTGCAATCATCAGACCTTTCACTATTTGCTCTAGCTAATTTAGTTTGCCTTGGAATCTCTTTAAGGTTATATGCCGTTACATTATCTAACGTATTCGATTGGCTTATCTTAGGCAGTGATGCAATAGACTCATACACCATCGAATCAGATGGACTATTAGAGTATGCATCATTTAAACTAGAAACACTGGTAGTTTTTTTGATACCACTATCAGTCGTAGTATTTACAACTGATGGCTTTATTGGAGGGGGTAGCAATGTTATATCTTCTTTGGATAGACCATAACCTGCTAACGCTAATCCTTTTATTGCTAGGTTACCCTCATACACCGATTTTGGGTCTAATGATGAAAGGCTCGCAGCTTTATTGGAATCAATGTTATACGGATAACTTGGTAATACCTGTGAAGAGTTATCAGTTCCGCTTTCAAAATATGATCCAACTGATTTTTGACGAGGTGACAATGCAGCAAAGGAACTCGTTCTTGTTCTTTCGGGAAGATTATTTACAGGTATTGGTTCCTTAGAGTTTACTGGTACACTTTCATATCCTATCGCTTGAAATTCTTCAGTTCTTGCATCTTGTAAATTGTCAGTCTTGATGGGTGATGATACTCTTGCAGATTCTGCCTTCTCATTACTCAATAATTGGTTAAAATTCAAAATAGACGTCGATTTCGTAATCTTTTTCATTCCTTTTGAAAAAACACTAGGCCTTTTTGTTATTTTAGGATTATTCAGTGAATTTTTACCACCCTCAATTGATGATCTCTGATCTTGAGTTGATTCTTGATCATTTTCCATAATAAAAGCAAACCAAAGCTCACACCTATGGTTTATTATTATAAATGTTATTAATGACACTGATACTTATATTCAATTGATAATGCTTTTGCAATATTTTTTAGTTATTGAATCAAATGAATGAATCCCTTCTATTATATTATTTAATTTCTGAATCGATTTTGACCAAAGAAAATAACTGTCAATAGTGGATATTTAGATAGACTAGCTGTACAATTAGACTAACATAAGTAAGGATTTTACGAAATCTATTGAACTCTAGTTTAAAGAAAGCTATGTTGGAGAAACTTCTCTCATTTACAAGCCTAGACCATGCGCGCGATCGCGCTGTAGTTGTTTGTTTACCTTTTTTTTTTCTATAAAACTTGTTTAGTAGGTCAATCTTTACGGAACTTGTTCTTCTACTGGTTGATATGAGCATATCTAGACCATATAAATCAGTTAAAAAGACTAAATCGGGGAATTCTGATAAAAATCAGTCTCTGATTTCTAGCTTCTTTGGGACAGCTGCATCAGGTTCAACAAAATCCAGCATAAAGAGAACGCCGCTAGTTTTAACAACCCCAGAAAAAGTGGCATTGAATAGAAGTAATTCTTTCCTTTCCAAAGCTGTGGTGTCAAGTGGTACATTCGACGAGTTTGCCAGTTCAGATACTTCGTTTGATTCACCTGAGATTAATAATTTTAAAAATCCGGCGTTGACCAAATCTTTTATGGGACAAGAGTCCCATAGATCGCAAGTGGTAGATTTGACACAAGAAGATGAAACAGATGTACAGGTCATATATCAACTGGTAAATAGCCCTACTTCACATATAAAGACCCAAAGAAATGAGACGCAAAAGACGGGCAACCCTCCGTTAAAAAGGGGCCATCAAGACTTGTTGGAAAAGCTAAACGGGCAGCCTAGAAAAGTTCCCCGGAATTTTAAACTAACAAGCCCCCTGTTCACATCTTTGCTGCACACTTCACTGATTCCATTAAGTGAGGAACAGCTAAAGGTGATAAAGTATATAGTTCTGGATGGACTCAATGTGTTTTATACTGGTAGCGCGGGTACAGGTAAGTCTATTGTCTTACGTGAGTTGGTCCAGTCTCTTCACCTGAAGTACGGTGCTAGTAGAGTTGGTGTTACAGCATCAACAGGATTGGCTGCATGCAATATTGGTGGCCAAACAATTCATCGATTTTTGTCCATTGGCTTGGGCACTGGAAGTGCTTTTGAATTGGCCAAGAGGATCAAAAAGAATCCGGCCAATCTAAAAAAGTGGAAGAATTTAAAAGTATTAATTATCGATGAAATCTCTATGATTGATGGCAAATTATTTACCAAATTGGATGAATTAGCAAAAATTATTCGTTCAAGTCAGCTTCCTTTCGGCGGGATTCAAGTTGTTTGTACAGGAGACTTCTTCCAATTGCCTCCCGTCAACAAGGATGGTCTGTCTGAATTTTGCTTTCAAAGCACAGCATGGGACAAAGTTATCCAAAAGACTATATTATTGACTCGAGTATTCAGACAGAAAGGAGATACTGAGTTGATCGATATGTTGAACGCATTACGTTACGGGAGTATGAATGATGACATGATTGCAAAATTTTATAAACTATCAAGAAACGTTGTTTATGACGATGGTCTTGAACCAACCGAATTATTTCCTACTAGAGAGGAAGTCAAGAGAGCTAATCAAACAAGACTCAGCCAGATTCCAAGTAGACCTCTTAGGTTTAAAGCCGAAGATAACATTTCAGATGTCAATCATATAAAAATGCTAGATAATTTAATGTGTGAAAAGGAATTGGAGCTAAAAGAAGGAGCACAAGTAATGTATTTAAAAAATCTTGATGATCAAATAGTCAATGGGTCAATTGGAACCGTAACATGCTTTATGTCTTCAAAACTTTGGGAAAAAGTGAATGATGTTTACAAAGGAAATTTATATGACATTGATGATCAAATTGCTGATGAGCTAAGGTTATTATCGTCCAGAGTTGGCTGCGTAGCAAACTGGTCTCCTGAAGAAACTGAAAAATATGACCGCATACCGAACGAAAGAAAATCAAACTTTACAAAATTGGCCGCTGTGGCATCGAATGAATTGGTATCTGATTTATACCCAGTAGTAAATTTCAAGACCGCCACAGGAAACACTCTTATTCGTGTAACAAGAGAAGACTTTAGTATCGAAGCAGGAAGAATTAGAAATTACACTGGTGGCGAAGCTGATAAGATCACTAGGTCCCAATTGCCATTGCTATTATCATGGGCAATATCTATTCATAAAGCACAAGGTCAAACCATCGACAGATTGAAAATCGACTTAAGAAAAATCTTTGAAAAGGGTCAAGTCTATGTTGCTCTTTCAAGAGCAACTAATAAAGATCATTTACAGATATTGAATTTCGATCCGAGGAGAATTACCGCCTCTCAAGATGTTAAACAATTCTATCATAAATTAGAAACAACACCTAATCTATAGCTTTAAATAATGTTTAAATACTTATGTATAGTGTGTTGCATACAAGAAGGAATTCAGAACTCTTTTTTTCTGACATCCTTGGAAGTCTGCATTTAAATATTGTAATGCTCACATTTTTAGCATAAAGAAGGAAATTTTGAAAAATCATTTGACTTCTCTTTACATTAACGATACAACTATGTTTAGTGTAGAAAATTCACTTAATAGCGGAACTGGTGGAAGAAGTGGTGGTGACTTGGGCTACAATGGGTTTCCTGTGTCGTTAAACTATTTCACTGCATTACCAGATCCAACGATTTTGCATAATCCAAATGTTACGATTATATTCAAATCTTTGTTGAAGAAAGATTCAATCACGAAAGAGAAGTCGCTTAATGATTTCATACAAGTATTAGATGATTATGATAATGAATCAGTGGTAGTGGATGACCTATTGATATTATCATGGATACAATTATATGCGAAGTTAGCAATTGACAACTCAAGAAGTGTAAGGATTTTATCGCATCAAACTCAATCGAAATTATTAGGTATAGTAGGTGGAAAAGCATTTAGCAAGTACTTAGTGAGTTCAATTCCTATTTGGTTACAGGGACTTTATGATAATGATAAACTTGTATCCAGTTCAACATATAAGACATTATTGCACAGCTTTCAAGATAACAAAGAGAGAGTGGATTCCAAAATTTGGGTTACATTTTATGAACCGATAATCAACTATATTGTAACTGTTGTTAATTTAGAGAATCATAAAAGCTTGTCTGATCAAAGATATACTAAAGAAACGGATTCGTTTGCTAAATATGAACGAGTTCTTAATGGGAGTGTAATGATGTTGAACAAAGTTATAAATTTAATAAATGATGGAGAAATAAAAGTGAATAAAGGAGATAAAGAATTGGAACAAATTGAAGAATTACTTAATCTGGATATCTTGTGGGATTATTTAGGGACATCTATATCTGCGGATACTTTGAATTTGCCTTTATTTAAATCATTATTGATTCTTATCCGATACATATTCGGTAATGTTCCTAAAGACGGAAGTGATGAGCCAAATGTCATTATAAAAAATTTAAATAATCCAAAGGCTCTCTATAAATTGGTTTCTAGAAAATTTATTAAACACGTCAAGCTAAAACCTAGTAAAAAAGGGTCGAATAATGACATAATTTATTCGAATATTATATTGCAATTTTGGGATTCCATGATATCTCTCACTGGCTTTTCTCTTTTGTCGCCACAACAAAGAAAGGCTTTGAAGATTAAAAAGAATTTTTGGGAATTGGGAGGGAATAAGAGTCGTTCTAGATTACTTGACTATCTTAAATTAGGTAGCTGTCTGCTGAATCCCATATACTATGTAGTGATAGGACAATTTTTCCAAACTTTGTCTAAGGTAAGCGATATTGATAATAGTGTGGAATTCATTCATCTTAACAGTCTTGATGATGCTAAATTGATTATAAACGACATACTTTGCTCGCAGTTGAAAACCCTAACGAGTTTTGAATATAAAGAAAGATGTTTTAGTTGTATTTTGAGAGTATATGAAATTTTCAAACAAAATGTATCTGAAACAGATTCAAACCAAGTTCTAGGTATCTTGCGCTTAGTGCTATATCAAGTTTTGGACATTGGTGGCCACAGGGCAGCTCGGAATGAAACGGTGAATAAGCTTCAAGGTCTTTTCACCTTTTTTGGAGATTTCTTGAATAAGAACTTTTCAGTCGATTCAATTGATTTATTGTTACGTGGTATTAATTCGGAAGTTCTGGTTTTAGTAACTTCTGAAGACCATCAAGAATTATTATTAGATAATTTTGAATTTAAATCTCCTACCGTGGATGTAATAACTAACTATTTTAATCTTCTTATCTATTTGGCCAAATTTAACGACTCCGCAAATAATTTGATAGATGTGTTAATTGAGGATATATGTAAAAGTGTCGAAGAGGAAACAATAATGTCTGAACCAAATATTGCTTTTCATATCATTGTGTTGTTTATCAAAAGCTACCGTGATAAACCTGACAGGATTGGTTCGAATGTAAAAGGCTTGATTACAAGTATTCCCTCCTTCATAGAACCACAGTTTGTCGAAACTCCAATTAAAATGTTGTCAGCATTCCTTAATTCTGGCTGTAATACCAAAGATGGAATTGATTTAAAAGAACTTATAAGTGATTACTTTATTAAAACATCTGCAACAGATGAATCTAAAATCCCACTATTATTGTCAGCTGTCAGTCAACCCAAAGACTTTGATCAATTTAACGTAAAAGCAGACTTTCCTGATATTTATCAGTATTTGCTTGAATTATCGAGAAAAGATAATCTTTCAGAAAAGGAGGCTGCAATTGTATTTGGTTATACTAACGATCAAGTAATCTTCAAAAACTTGATAAATGCATCCAACACTAATGACGAGCAAGGACTAAAATTCATCGATTACTTCTTAAAGTATTCTGCGACTGACAATTTGAATCAAGAAAATGAAAAACTTGATTTCTATGGTAATCTTTTTCTTATTTGCTGGAAGAATATTGATAAGCCCATCCATCAGGACTTCCTTACGGCTTTTGCAAAGAAAATTTCCCCAACGCTATTCATTGAAACAGTTTATCAGTTTACATCACAATCGTCGGTTGAAACTGATTTTTCTTCAGCTGCAAAATACTTGTTGAATCTTTCTGAGTCTCCTAAGAATGTATTCGAATTATTGCCGCTTGAAAAATACTTCAAAGTAGTTGCAGATGCTGTCGAATATATAAACATTGATTTGTTGGCAATTGCAAACCCATTGGAACAAAATATATTCTTAGGCAAGGGAAATTCAAAGGATGATTTTCATCTCGATCTGTCTTTGATTACGATAGGTAAGTTTTTGGTAGAGTTTTCGAATTATTTAGATTCTACTGAATCTAATGAAATGGCTATTGATATATTAGTTACATCTGGAATAATTGCGGAATATATTCATGATTATTTCTTTTTGCAAAACGATGATAATCGTCTTATTGTTTTAGATGACCAAATACTGTCGATTAGAGCTGATTTGCTCAAAACTTTCAAAAATAATATTAAAAGTATCAGCTTGTCTAGTTTAGTTCCTATTATTAACGACGATCAATCTAAAAATAATGATGATGATTCATGTCTTGCTACTTTCAATCGTTTGAATAAGGAAATAAGTAAAGGAAGCGGACTCACTAACTTTCTGATTTATTCTGCTAGGTTGATGAAAATTTATTTAGATAAACTTGTCGAATTGGAAACCTCTCAATCTTTTGAAGCGGACATTGTCATTAACTTTAATCGATTATTGTCGTCTCCGTTGAAGTTATCGGTTGTTCTTTTAAGCTTTTCAAAGTTCTTTTTCAAGTCAAATAAGTTTGACAGGATCAGAAACTATCTTGCTGCTGAAATTTTAGGAGTAAAATCAGATACTCAAATTTTAGATGACGGATTAAAATGGTTGACCTTGGTTATCAACTTTTTCAATGCTGACCTTAATGAGCTAAAAAGATACGAAGTTATTCCTTCCCATAGATTAGCATTAATACTTAATCAACTTTCAAAATGGTTGGAATCAGATATTTCTTATAATGAGTCGTTTATAACTGTTAGATGTCAGATAACTCGGTTTTTGAACGGTTTACTACATGGCAATAACGAGAATTTACCAGATAGATTTTGGGGTCTAGCAATCCATTTGTGTTTGGATAACCTTGGAATTGCTCAAACTGAACCAAAGCACTTGGAATTGCAATACTTTACATTGAAGTTATTTATTTCCTTGAACAAAGTTCAGAAATATGATAACGATAATTGGTTTGAAAACAAGGACTCATTGCATGAAGAGATATTAGATTTGATAGCAAATCATAGCAACCATTTGCTGGATTTGAATTTTAATAATCAACCGGTTTATTTGTGCCATGAATTATTGAAGAGGATTTGTAAAGATTATGAATTTTCAAGTGGGCTTCTTAATGATAAATTGGCTGACTTGTATGCTTTACTTTACAATTCTAGATTTATTGGATTGCAAAGAATTGGTGCATCATTACTACATGAAGTAATTTTAACAAACCAACAAGATTTCGTTGTTGAATATCAATTACAGAAGAGTAATTTGGGTAGCTCTGATAACCTTGAAGATGGATCTGATCAATTCAAAGCTGAAATTCCTAGGGGATTAATAGAGTCAATTCAACTGATTGATGATGTGTTTTCAGATTCTATTGAATTTGAAACATCTTATAAGGTTTCGAGAGCGTTATGGAGTTGGTATTTAATATTTGATCATTTCAAAGATATCACATATTCAATTAGGTCTGAATATATCAGTCAGCTTAAGGCCGGTGGATATATCGATAAACTCTTAAGCTTGATCTTCGAGCTGGTAGATGTTGCCAATACTAATGGAATTTTGAAGAAATTGCATACAAGTGAAGACACCAACTCTAAAATCAAACCAAATGATAATTTAGTACAATCATATAACTTAAGTCAGGGAATAGTTGGCGAAACATTTAAATTTGAAATGAAGTTCTTGCTCTTACATTTGTATTATTTGTCCTTTCAATATTTAGGGTCATATGTACAAGCATGGTTTAATGGTATTCGTGATCGTCAATTAAAACAAAAGATAGAAAAGTTTTCTATAAAATATGTTTCACCATTAATTGTTCATAAAATTCTCGAGGATGTATCCAAATCTAAGGATAAACTAACTAATAAGGATGAAAATATGTCCATTAAAGTCAGTACTGCTGCGAATGAAATAAAATCTGTGTATTTGATTGACGAACAAACAATGGAAATGGTTATTAAAATTCCCGACTCCTATCCATTATCCAATGTCTCAGTTGAAGGACCCTTGCGGATAGGAGTTAAAGAAAATCAATGGAAGGCTTGGTTATTAGCATCACAAAGAATTATTTCACTTACAAATGGTTCTATTATTGAGTCTATTGAATTGTTCAATAGAAATGTTAATCTACATTTTTCAGGTTTTGAAGATTGTGCAATTTGTTATTCTATTTTACATCAGGACCATTCCTTGCCTTCCAAAACTTGTCCTACATGTCTGAATAAATTTCATGCCGCGTGCCTTTATAAGTGGTTCAAGAGCTCGGGAGCCAGTACTTGTCCCTTATGTCGTTCGGCTTTTAACTTCAGAACGCCAAAATCTGTTGGTTTAAATGCATAAAAATTCAACCCTATATAAAAGAATAGCCTATACGTGATGTAATATACAGATTTGTCAATTTCTACCTAACCTTGGTTGTCGACCTCGGTAGGTTGTAGAGTTTAAGTCATCCTGTCTTTGAGTTGCGTTCAAGGTCCAAGGAGCTCCAGTCATTGAGATATTATGTTTTGTTGTTTTAATTCCCGTCTTCCCATTCAAGAAATCTCCCAGGCTATCGTCATCCGTTTCATCTTCATCTCTTTTATAAATAGGTAACTCTTTATTAGTTTCAAAGTCTCTCCAAGGGTACAAAGAACTACCGAACCAGAAATGCTGAACTACAGGAAATTTTCCTAATACCTCTACCTCGAACATTTTCAATAATCCAGAAAGAACTTTCGACCAAAGTGAAACAGACGAATGAATATCGAAAATAATTGGAGAATGTTCATTGAATGGTCCCAGCTTTATTTTATGAATAAATGAAATTGCATTCACATATAAGTTTGTTTCTTTGTATCTGTCAAGAACTGGACTCGTAAGAATCTGTTGTACTGGAGGTATGATCTTGTCTTGGCCCCCATTGAATTGTGCTGCACCAAAAATATAAATTAGATGATAATGATCATCCAATCCCCACACACCATGTGAACCCGCTGGTTCTAAACTATAGACAAGGATTAACCTACGAGTTAAATCGTAATATTTCGCAAAAATGGTCAAAATATCTGATCCTGTCAATTCCTCTAAATTCAATAGCTTAAAATCAATCAAACCTCCAATGAACGCTAAAAACGATAATTCATGGCCAGTGCCATAATCCAATCTAATTGCTGACCCAAAAGAGTTTTCAATGTAATACTTCAATTCCTTAATAAACCCATCGAATTCCAGATTGAACGAGGAATTATGTATCTTTATATTATCTTTTAATAAGTCATTCATTTTACCATTCATTTTCTCATGCCAATCCCTACATGCTAGATTTCCAAACCTTCTTGGGCCTTCGAGAGGAGGAGTTTCATCAATGTATCTGTTCAATACTTCAAGAATCCTCAAAAGTCCTTCAAAATTAGATTCATTAACTTCTCCCCTAATTGTTTCATTTGGTGAATGTCTAATATTGCATTTATCACCCCTTTCCTCTTCCTGGGGCGGCGGTAAATCTAAAGGCCTACTATTTGTGGTATTCGATGGAGGTATATTATTTATTTTTCGTGTTACTATCGATTTATCCAAAATCCCTGGAGGAAGATCACAACCTTTAACCTTTTCTATGATAACAGATAAGGTATGACGTATTTTGTAGTACGCAATGGAACGCTTAAAATTATGTATATCAGAAGCATCGTATATTCTTTTGGATGGACTCAGCCAGTGTATATTGTGTGGCTTCAGCATTACTACGTATAAAAATTGTATATCTTAGACATCCGGCGAAGAAATTAACTGTTGCTTGTAAATTGATATAGAAACAGCATTGCATATTTCATAATATGCAGGATATTAATATTGTATAACCATTCTTATATGGGTGTTGATATTGTATTATTTATGAATAGCACGCTTGTCTGGAGCATATAAAGCTAAAGCCTAATAATTTAGAGTATAAATTGGCTTTCTGTATATTCTTATGACTATAATATTTAGAAAATTAAATTTTCGAGACTCATTCTTAGATAATGATTGAGGTTCTTGAATGGTTGCTTTAACTCTTGTTCTGGAAAGTGCTAAGATTTATTTCCATAAGAGAGCTCGAATCTATGTCGCTGTCACTATCGCTTATTTGTATTATATCCAAAGCTGTGGATACGCCATTAGTCCTAGTTTCTGACATTCCTCTATAATTTGTTGTCTCGAGCATGGTTTTTGGAGAAGAGCTTCTTCGATCTTGTACTGGAATCAATAATGCACCATCATGTTCAAATCGAGAATGTTGCTTCATTGGAGAAGATTCGGGCGAGAGGTGCATTTTTTCTTTAATATGACGCCTCTTTGAAGGGCTACTTTGAGGACTTGAAATATCTTGGGCAAGCGAAGGCACCTTTCGTTTAGGAGAGCCCGTCATGTCTTCATTTGACGGAGGTTCTTCATAATGTAAATTTGAATTAAGTGACTTCTCCAACCTCAATTTACCGTACTGGTTACTCGTTTTATTGTTTTGAATCTCTTTATTCTTACCTTCATACCGGTCTTTAACGAATAATGAATCTAGTTTATTAATCTGAGAATCATTTTCAATAAAAGGATTATCTTCCTTAACATGCTTGTAATGAGGAAAAAACGATGTTACAAGTGACTGTCCTGATAACTGAATACGCTTTTTAGGGGATATACTTTTCGCTTTTGATAAACCCATTGTTTTCAGAGGAGAACCTTGAGTCTTAATATCCACATTATTATTTTCCTTCCTGAATTCATTTTTTCTATCCTGATGACTAGCCAACCCCAACGTATCTAGAGTTGTTCTTTGTACGGTCTTATATTTTCTTGGTGATCGCTTAATTTTCTCCTTTTCATGTACCGCGATCGATATTTCATAATCTTGAACCATTTCTGAATTAATTAACTCGACTAAGTTTCTTGGAAGCCATAAACTTTCTAATTTGTCTTTAGGAGGCAGCAACCTTTCATTTTCATTTTCGGAAAACGTTCTTGGTAAATCATGCAGGTTGATTAAGACATTTTTTATTCCTTCAGGTTCAAACTTAAGCATAAGAAATTCAATATGATTAATAGATTTCTTGTTAGTAATTTTAATCGTTTCACGAAGAGTAGGCATTCCATTGACCCACGATAGAAGTTTGATAATGATGTTTTTAATATTATATTTATACCCATCAGGAATCATGGATTTAGAACGTCGTTCACAAATGTTCTGTGAATTCTTGCTTGTACAATTTATAATCCTAACATTTCCTAATTCGTCAGTCCGCATAGATAGTTCCAGAAACCCAATATTTTTATCTTTTAACATATTATTAAACCTTGGGATACTTTCAATCCAGGTTTTTGGATCACTGACAAGCATAAAACAACTTTCCGGAACAGTCAAATCATTATTTATCACATTTAACTCGCTAAAACTTAAAGTATACGGCACAAACTTAAATAATTGCGGACTCACTATGGGAAATAGGTAAAGTAGTGTGAAATATTCATCTATAAAGAGAGATGATGGAAATTTAATATCCATATCAAATATGTCTCTTGACCTTGTATTTATGCATTGATTTAAAAGACTTGTGAATCTCTCTAACTCCGTTCTTCTTATACCTGCGCCTTTTATCAGAGCAAATGGATCAAAAGCATTTAAACAAGCTCTATCAATAAAACAATCTACCAATAATTTGGAGAAATCTGGCAATGGCTCATAAAATTTTATTTCCTTTTTCTTTTTAGTCTTCCTTGGAGATAAATGGAAAAAAGTAGCAAATTTCGTTCCGCATAAGGCTATCTTGGTTGCCCTTGTTATGCCAATATTATTCATTCCATTGGAGTAATCGCCTCCTCGTAAAGTCGCAACTAAAATTAATCTTTGGTAGTCTAATCCAGTTTCCTTTGCAACCTTGGCCATATCTACTGGCGTAACATAATAATCTTTTACAGAATTTGAGGTGCTTGAGACGGCAAGATCCTGCTCAGATCTACTGAAATTCCTCAAGACTTTTGTTGCACCGAAAACAAAAACATCTGTATCCTTGGTCAAAACAAAATCAACGACACCAAACTTTTGTAACATTGCGCATTCTGCCTCTGCTTCACCAGGAGATTGAATAAAATCAATTTTATTTACTCTGAAAATTTCAATCAATCTGTCTATTAATGGAGTACACAGCGAGTCTTCAATGTAGTTTTCATTTTTAAATGCAATTTTTTGAAACTCGTTCAATTGATCATCGTAAGATATGCAATGATACATGTCTTCATTATGCCTTAATTTTTGTGGTTTATATCTCCCGTCAAAAACCACGACATATGAAACACTAAGCAGAGTCAAATACATCAATTTTGACATTATATTCCTAACTTGAATATCATTCTCACGTTCAGCACCTTGTAAATTACTATGATTTGATTGGAATATAAACATGTAAGCATCGATAGCTATCCTAGGGGTTCTTCCATATTGATTTATAAATTCAGATACAAATATAGGAAATGGTATCCTGGGATCAAATCCTGGAGCTAAAATTGACCATAAAGCAGTAATCCCCATGTATCATGTCTTGAATATTCTGAGTGATATTTAAATCAATTGTTAATAAATTATCGTCAATATATAAAAATATGGAAAGCAGAATTCTTAATTAGTATGTTTCAAGGAACTTAATTGATGTGCGAAAATTAGAAATACCAGAAACTAAATAACTAAATAATTGAATTCTTGTTTTGATTAGGAACTACGACATAAAAAGATTCTCATATAATGAGCGAATCTTCTTCACAGAAATTTCATGCTGGTCAGCTTCTATGTGGGGGATTCCAAGGAACGAATGTTACGGCTCAAGCGTATCATTTGATTGTTCAACATCATGTCTCAGCGATGATACTCTCTAAGAAAAATGCAGTGTCTGTAAAGCAAATGACAAAATTAATAAGAGACTTGCAGTACATTGCGTACACTCAGGCTAATTATAAATATCCTCTTTTATTTGCAATTGATGAAGAGGGTGGTATGATGAACTCATTGTTCGATCCGAACTTCCTAAGTCAATTCCCCGGCGCCATGGCTATGGCAGCAACAGGTGACGCTGATTTAGTTTACAAGATTCTGAAAGCGATAGCCACTGAATTGAAACATATTGGATTCCTGATAATCTTGGGACCTGTGTTAGATGTAGTGACAAAACTATCTCATCAATTAGTTGGGGTAAGAAGTTTCGGCACCACCGTTGAGGATGTTACGAAATATGGTAAGGCTTGTGCTAGGGGCTTGAAAGATGGAGGTTTGATCACTGTTGGCAAGCATTTTCCAGGAATCGGAAATGCGAGTGTTGATTCTCTATTAGAATTACCTATGATGGCAGACTCGTTGGATCAAATTAAGCATTTTAACAGTGTTCCCTTTGCTGAATTAATTAAAGACAAGTTACTAGATGGTATCAGCGCTGCAGGTTGTGGGGTTCCCACCATAAGTCCGGATGAGACACATGCTTGTTTGTCGCCAATTGTAATAAACCAATTATTGAGACAAGATTTGGGATTTGAGGGTATGGTAATAAGTGAATGTTTGGAAATGGATGCTCTATACCATTCAATTGGACTTGGTCAAGGTGTCATCTTAGCTCTCTATGCTGGATGTGATTTAGTGATGGTCTGTCATGATAAAACTTTACAAGATGAAGCGGTCGAATCGATAGATAAAGCGTTAGCCAATGGTAACGTTGATGATGAAATTATATCGGCATGCTTGAGAAGAATTGAGAAGCTTCAAAGAAAATTACCTAGCTGGAATGAATTGTTTCCGCGGGGAGAAGACTCTGCTAAAGAAGATGAATTGCCGTTGTTTAAGGACAGATATCAAGAAACCTGGAAACAGCATCAAGCTTTATCTCAAATGGCATATAGAAAATCAATTACCTTAGTTAGAGACTATACGGGAACTTTGCCAATTACAAAAATCTTTGAAAGCTTACCACAGCCCTCAAATGCAGAAGATAATACAAATAATATTTTGCTATTAACTCCCTTATTAAACCCCATATATCCAAGAAGTCATGGTGAAAATGGTGAGCCACAATTGTATACGGGAGAAGAAGTATTTCAAAAATTCGGTGATTTTCTATCTAATCATTCCAAAAACTTAAATTCTAAAAATCCTTATAACGTGCTACACACAACATATACAGCTAATGGGCTTACTGCATTGCATGAATCCTTGATTGAAAATTCAAAAGCTGTTATTGTGTTAACGTCCGAAGCGTCTCGAAATATGTATCAAATTGGGATTGTTAAATATATTTCTATATTATGTGGTGCAAATCCTTCGTCTTTCAACAATACCGCATCGTCTCATTCTCAGTTAGCAAAGCCATTGATAATTGTTGCTTCTCTGTCGCCTTATGATTTCTTTTATAATAAAAGTATTGGAAGTGCATATTTATGTTGTTATGATTATACAAATAATGTTTTAAAAGAATTGGCTGGTGTATTAATGGGTGATATCCAAGCAGAAGGCTGTATTCCTGGGGAAAAGAAATTTGTGGGAAAACTGAGAAAAAGAAAATCAATTGATTCACAAAATACTGCTGAAAAGTATAATCAAATTAAAGAACGAAGAAGTTCTCAACCTAAGCGTAGATGGCTAGTGGATGAATTTGATTTGAAACGTGACTGGGCAGGTTTAATCAACATATGGAAGAGTAACACTGATACAAGTTCAAACGCTGACGATCTTACTGTCAATGTATCTAATAATCAATCCGGAGAAATAACGTACCAGGATGAATTCTTTTACAAGAAAATGTATCAGTTGTTGTCTACTACGGCTAATACTCAGAAACATTTTGTAATTAGAAATTCATCCTTAAATATTCTATACGGTTTTGTTTTAACATGGGTTGATGATAGCCAAGGAGTTCCTTTGGATGGCGATCTAACAAAGTTGGATAATATTCAAAAAAAGACGGGCTCAATAATGTATTTATTAGTGGATAAATCAAAAAGATTGCAGAGTATCGGAAAGAATTTGCATGCTAGAGCGATAAGATATTTGACGAAAGAACAAAAATGTACGAGCCTTACATTAGGATGCTCATTTCCCTTATTAGTCTTGCCAAAAAATTCTAATTTATTAACAAATAATAAGGTGGTCTCATTTATGAATAACGTTGGGTGGGATGTATCTAACAATTATTCTAAAAAAAAGCATATTATGGTATTGTACGATTTGAATAATTGGCTGGTTCCCAAGAAAATTTTTAGAGAGTTGACAATAGTGGGTGTAAGATTTGATGTTTGTACTGATCCACAAAAATTGATGAATCTAATACATAGCAGTATCCTGCAACATGATAAACTGGTGAAAAATGCTATAAGGCTGGGAACGCGCATGACGGAAGACAAAGATAACACGAAGGAATTATATATCGAGGCAATTAAATATTTGACTAACAGCCCATCATATGGAGTGAAAATAATTATTGCTTTAGAACCGACCAATCAAAACGTCATTGGAAGTATAATCTTGTTTACCAATAAGTCGCAAATGTCTAAATTTTATCCGTTCTTAGAAGAATGCTTGAAAGATTCGAAAACACTAGAAAACCTGAACCTGCAAGATCCATTAATTGGCGGTATAATGGCTCCAGTTATAGATCCGTCTTACTCGAATTTGACAGAAATTATTAATTTTGGGCTTATATGTAGTGCAATAACCTTTGCAAAATCAGGATTTAATGATAATGATCAAAATCAAATGAATAAATGTGTTATGGTGGGTATAAACGACGATAATTTGGGGAATATCAGTGGGATCAAAGAAATTGGTTTTGAGGAGTGGAAATATTTTTATGATTTTTACGACGTTAAAAATGATGTTGAAAAATCATTCCTAGGCGAATAATTTTAGTAATATATAATTTTGTATATTATAATTTTTATAAATTCCATAGAATTTCGCATTAATAGAAAACAACTAATCAATCGCATTAATCGTAAACATTTTTACATGGTTTACAAATAGGCTACTGAAATATCATTCTGTTCATGATACGGTTTCTATCAAAAGCAAATAGATAAATAAGTTAGTAAGTTTAAGTTTACTTTCTTACACGTTTCTTATCAATGCAATGTTAAGCTTTCTTGACCCTGCATGCGTTAAGTTGGAATTTGTTGCGCATTGCCTACTTAAGCATAAATCTATTTAACTTGCTTGAATTTATTAAGTGCAAATAGAATGAGTTAATCCTACGATCCAATTGGAAGTGTATTAAAACACATCAATATAAACACCAAAAATTATATTATTCTGATGCATTAGAGTAATTTTACTATTTCCAGGGACTTGCATCAGCAGCGAGGTATTTCACAACGCTGCTGATGAAAATGAAAAAATAAAGTACTACAAAAGCCTAAGCTATTCCAATAGAAACTGGAATTCTAATCTTCTCTGTGTAAATTTGTGTGTCAATCTTTCTTCCACATAAATCGTTACAGTTTAAAAACAGGCAGTAAAATTAACCATTGACTTCTTATAAAAAATGAGCTATTATAAGGTGATAAAGCCTAAAAACTCACACTAGTCATTAATTCCAAAGGGTACGATATGCTTAGTAAATAGCTTCTCTATTTTCTATTTTATTACAAGTCAGCAGGAAACCTCTTTTCCGCATTAGAATTTTCTGGTGAAAAGATCTGTCAAATAATAGCGTTCACCTTTTTCTTATCTGTTCGATCCATGACTAAAATATTCAGCACCTACATCTTCGTCCGTATCAGCATGCACTCAGTATTTTTAAAAAACTGATTACAACCGTTCTTCTTCGCAAACCCGACTTTTAAACCATGACCCAGCAACGCATATATTGTTTATCCGTCATCTAAATATTGGTAGCAGAATCTTAATAATAAAATCAAGAGCTCATATTAGATATACCACACAGTTAGTAAACATTAATAACTAATTAATATATCAAAAATCATATAAAATATACAATTTAATCCATTGTTAATCAAATAATTATTTTGCAACTAGAATAACCAAAAAAAAAAACAACGACAATTGTTATCTATCCTGTAGGCTCCAATGAATCAAATAAAGAAATAATACCAATATTTCTTTGAGAATTTCGGTCGGTATATGAGTTTCTCTGGGTTTTAAGTTACTACGTAGATTATAAATGGGTACAATGAAACTCTATATCGATTAATTATGCGTGCACAGATTGGGTTTGTCTGCTTTTACCACTATATTTGGCAGCAGAAGATCATCGCAAATATACTCTTCAAATTAGTCCGATGGTTTCCCATTTGATTTTGACCCAGAGAGTCATTCTCATCGACGTTGAAGCCTTCTGGTAGAGCATCCTTAATAGAAATTGATTCAGCTCGATGTAACTCTTGCTCAAGGCTTAGTCTCCGTTCCCGTTGCGACTCATACGTAGGTATATATTCTAGGTTTGACATTCATACAATGTACTCTAGTTTATAATTACTTATTGACAAAGAAAGATTCAAATTATTGCCATCAATCGTACTTTTGACTATAGTAAGATTTCGTGACATAATAGCGCATCATTTTTTGACATGCAGGTGAGATTGCTACAATAATTAATACTTTTGCTTTGCAACAAAATATGTCTATTACAAAAGTTCATGCTCGTACAGCTTTGGTTCCCGTGGAAATCAAGTATAAAGGCTGATATCTCACAACAAACGTTTTTACGGGGCAGTTGTGCCATATGCAACTGGATGGAACGTTCAAGTGTCTCGCCGATCTGAGAAACCGAAGTCACAACGATTGCTAATATTACTGTCGTGTTAAGAATTACACAGTTGAAGAGCGAGGATCGTGCAGGATCCGAAGAGTGGCATAGTATGACCAGCTTATTAGGATAGGAGACGAATAGGCGATATCTTTGCATGGAAATATTTCCAGACCTGTAGTGACCGAACAACGACTCTGTGTAGTCTTATTATCTTTCATATCGCAGCAGGTATTGATGCTTAGGGGTACCAATTTACTAGGACTAATTTGTATCGCGTAGTGTATGATGTAACTAATAGAAATTCAAAGTTATTCGACTTAAGTTTTCTCTTTAACTTCCTGCATTAATTATCAAAAAAAAAAGAAGCTTTGACTTATAACGCATGCAAATATATTTTAAATGAAAACAAGTCCTTTAGATAGGGACATATATCTCCGTATATGAATCAGTCACTTAATAAATTTTAATCCTCTATAAATTATCAAGTGCAAACGGAATTCGTTAAACCAACAGTCCAATTAAACACACCTAGGGTTAAAACTACAACAACATAACCGCTAATAACTGAATAAGAAGCGTATATATATGAATGCGAAGTCTTCAAGCCGAATAATTCAACAACAAAAATACTAACGGTAGTTAAAGCGCCACAGAAGCCATCATCTAAACCTAATAAAACATGACAGCCTAAGACATTAGTGACATCGCTTGATAATTTACCTCTACTGAGTAGCGCAAAAACTGATAAAGCAAAGTTCCGGAAAGATTAGCAGTGAAAGTACCTATTGGAAAGTTCTTAATTTTAGAGTTTAAATATTTTGAAAGGTAATACCTTATCAATGCCCCAAACGGTGCGAAAAAACAACCAAATGTCCATGATCTCCAAGAGCTATTATTTTTAACACCAATCAAAATAACGATAATAATGAAAAGTACCATCCCAATAATCGACGTCAACATTTCTATTCTCTTATACGTCTTCCTACTTAGCAGGGGTGAATAATTATCAAACATTTCTACGAGATGTCTACCCATATGAAATCCCATGATTGACAAACCAAAATGAGCCAACACAGATGTCAAAAATTCCATTATACCATATGCCATTGGGATAATGATAATATTTACCGGGCATAGTATCAGCAGACTTGTAAAATATCTCTAGCATTACTGAAGAAAACGACGAAAACGTACCACAAAACCCGGTTGTTATACCACTATGCATTGGAATCTGACCCTTATGAGCATATTCATGTGATTCAAGCAATATTTTCCATAAGCGATTACTATCAACTGCCATTCCCATAATTAAACATGCAGCAAAATTAGCCCATATGACTCTTGATAGAAATGAACCATTATAAGTTGACAAAGCTTCCAAACCTTTCCTAGCCAATAACCCCCAAATAGCACCATGTGTAATACATAAAAAAATTGGTATTCTATCTATAACTTTGTTGTAAGTCAACCCAAAACATCTTTTCGTGGGATAGTCCTTTTCATCCACATTAAAACCTTCAGGCAAAGATTCGGCTAAAGACTCTGCTTCGAAGTCTTGTAATTCGAATTCAATACTTCTTCTTATCTCTGCAACTGATCCCTGTCCGAACTCGTTCCTTCCAATCTCTTCCATCGTATGAGCATGCTTTCAGAATAATTTTTCGAAAATTTGGTCTATTTGTTATTATAGTTTATGTTAACAAACACGACTTGAGACAATAACTAAAAACTATGACACATTCGCTGCATCATACTGCAGGTATAAAAAGTTTTTTGGAGACATACTACTACAACCATGTTTGTGGAAAAGAGCTGAAATTAATGATGTCTAGTCTAAAGAATGTTCCTAAGGATCTGCTTTTCTATGAAACACAACTGATTCATTATATTTAAATAACACAGATTCATTTGTTATTGAGCTATCTAATCAATCATAAAAATAAATAATATCTGCATAAGGCCGTGCTAATCTACTTGCAAAAGTGAATATCTTTCTCATCTTTCTGAATAATCCGCCAAAGGCTAATGTTTTAAGAATTCAAGCCACTAATATGACATCCATTGTAAGTAGCTATATAGAACCAGGAAGGTATATACCAAGCAGACTCTACATCGAATATTCAGGCGTGCATACTGGTTCGGCTTTACTTATGACAACAAAAAACTACCGAAAATATACTCTTCAAATTAGTCCGATGCTTTACCATTTGATTTTGACCCAGAGAGTCATTCTCATCAATGTTGAAACCTTCTGGTAGAGCGTCCTCAATAGAAATTGATTCAGCTCGATGTAACTCTTGCTCAAGGCTTAGTCTCCGTTCTCATTGAGACTCATACGTAGGTATATATTCTAAGGTTGCCATTTACTTTATGTACTGTATCTTATTACATAGCTCTTTTGAATAGACGTAGCCAGATTTGGCATGTTCAAGATATTCGTGACATAATAGTCCAATGTCATTTATTGACATATGCAGGTAGCATAGCTATAGCAAGAGTATAAAAAGTAGAGCCTTTTTTTTTGCTAAAATTATTCATTGCTTTTCAAAGAAATATGTCTATTACAAACATTTATGCTCGTACAGTTTATGATTCCCGTGGAAATCCAACTGTCGAAGTTGATATCTCCACTAACAAAGGTTCTTTCAGGGCAATCGTTCCATCAGGCGCATCTACAGGGTCCTTAGAGGCATTGGAGTTAAGAGATGGAGATCAATCCAAATGGCTAGGAAAAGGGGTTACACGGGCTGTTAATAATGTCAATAAAATAATTGGACCTGCTTTGATTAAAGCTGGTTTAGATGTTACGGACCAGAATGCAATTGACAAATTGATGATTGATTTGGATGGTACCAAAAATAAGGAAAAGTTAGGTGCTAATGCTATTTTAGGAGTCTCTTTAGCAGTTGCAAAAGCAGGTGCTGCAGCCAAAAATGTTCCATTATATAGCCATATTTCTGATCTTGCTAACACAAACAAAAACCCGTTTGTTATACCTACTCCATTCTTTAATGTTTTAAATGGGGGAATGCATTCTGGTGGAGCTTTGGCTTTTCAAGAGTTTATGATCACACCTCTCGGAGCTCCCTCTTTCTTCGAAGGTGTCAGATATGTTAGTGAGGTTTACCATACTTTAAAGTCATTAGCAAAAGAAAAGTACGGTTTGTCTGCTGGAAATGTTGGCGATGAAGGCGGTGTAGCACCTAACGTGAATACTCCAAGAGAAGCGTTGGATTTAATTGTTACCGCTATAAATAAGGCGGGGTACAAAGGCAAAGTTTTTATTGCTTTAGATCCCGCATCCTCAGAATTTTTCAAAGACGGCAAGTATGACATGGATTTTAAGAATCCAAAATCAGACCCATCTAAATGCTTAAGTGGTAAGCAGCTATGCGACTTATACTTGGAACTTCTCGATGAATACCCTATTGTTTCATTAGAAGATCCATTCTCTGAACTTGATTGGGATTCATGGTCAAAATACTTTCCGGATTTATCTAAGAAAGTACAAATTGTTGCTGACGATATCACCGTAACTAACCCGGAAATTATTAAAAAAGGTATCGAAAAGAAAATTGCTAATAGTTTATTGTTGAAGGTTAACCAAATTGGTACTCTTAGTGAATCGATTGAAGCTGCTAACGAAGCATATGCAGCTGGATGGAGCGTTCAAGTTTCTCACAGATCTGGAGAAACTGAAGACACAACGATTGCTGATATTACTGTCGGACTAAGAACTGCTCAGTTAAAGAGCGGTGCTTGTGCAAGATCCGAAAGATTGGCAAAGTATAACCAACTTATTAGGATAGAAGAAGAACTAGGTGGTAAGGCTATCTTTGCAGGAAAAAATTTCCAGAAGTCTTCATCTATATAGTTTAATAGTCTTGCTTTATGATAATATACGCCTTTTTTAATTTTAAAATATATACAATATGACCTTGAATACAATTCTTTGAAATATCATTAGGGCCAATGTTTCTAAAGCAATGGAAGAACTATTTAGCATTAATATAAGTGGAATTTTATTGAATTATACCCATTTAACAGTTCTCGTGTAATTAGCAAGGGTCATATCACTGGGAAAATGATCATCATTGCTACCAATACGGATATTTGATGCTGCTAAGGTTTTCTATTCTGATGCACGGGCTTAAAAGCAGGTTGGAAAAGAAATCAACGGTTTCTCCCATATTCATTTAGTAAAGGATACCTTATTCTGAGTGACATGTAGTTAATCATAATCAAAGAATAAGACTCCACTTCCCACCTGCATGCTTCTTGATACAAAATGTAGATTCGAATTTTGATATTTCTAAGAATAGAGCAAGAAATTATTGTCTAATTCTGGAATCGAAACAATTTGGAGTTAGGCGTTTTGATGTAAAATACTAATCTTCGAGTAGCCTTTATTACCTCAAAATATATTGAATGTTAATTTGTAGAAATGGACGGTCTCTGGTTGCAAAAACAAATAAAAGTGTGAGATAAATTATACATGATTGCCTGGTGGAAACCAATAAATTACGTTAGAACTAGAAAAAGCTATCGATGCTATAGAAATGTATCAATATGCTACATTACGGAAGGAACTTAGTATTCTCGATGTTAATTACGAATGTAAAACAAGATCATCAAGGATGTTATTCTAACGTTAAATAGATTCATCCTTGATTTATAGTTGCAATATTAGAATCTGTGTAAAATAAGCTAACTATAGTTTCGACTATACTTCATCATCAAAAGGTAAATCTTTTAATATACTTTGTAAAATCTCAAGATATTCCACCTCCTTCCTGCTCAAGGAACACTGAGAAGGAACAAATATCTGGTTGCCGCGAATTTCAAATTCTCTTGAACCCTGAATATATTGAATGTCTTCGTTAAGAGCATGAATTGACTCTTTTTCAGATTTTTCATTGGTATTGCTACTCGAGGCGGGTGATCCTGGATACCACCAGTGCTCAGGATACCTCCTTATAATATTTCCTGTAACTAATGCAACACTAATTATTAGTACAGACGATACCAAATGTGCTGGCAAATACCACCATCCCATTGATCTTATTTGTTCATTAGTTGAGGGTAGTAATGCAGAAGCTCCAGATGGAGGATGCACACAGTTTAATAATGACATCAAGACAGACGCCGTTGCTACACTCAATGCGCCCCCAGCCCAATAATTGGAGCGCCCTCTTTCTGACAATGAAAATAACTTGGTAATACATTCACCTGATAAGGCCGACACAAAGTGCCCGAAAAGAATATTTCTGGGTTGTGCAACTGGCGAATCATGTGTGTTGAAAGACAATATTGATGTAGCTCCATAACTTGCGATAATCATCGGCGCATTATGCAGAAAGAATACAGTATTATGGCTTTTGAAGACTCCTTCTAATAAAGCTACTCCACTGAAAGTTGAAACGAAGATTTCAAGCCACACCCAATAATCTGCTTTGGGAGATGGACTGTGACAACCCAAGAATCTCCTTAAGATTTTAGGTAGCATTTGTACTTGATTTCCTGGAAGGTATTTAGTTGTTAATTTATCTAACGAAAATTGGAATACCATTTTGTATTTATTTCTTAACTGTCGTATTCTATATTGATATTGAAAGCGCCACTTAGCTCCAATTTATATTCTTTTGGTTTATACGATAAACTCTCCGCTCTGATAGATCCACGTTGGAATACATAGATGTCTAGAAATGACCCTATGTAAATTTTTGGAGATTGATATATGAATACAACTAGAATATTTTTGCTGTAGAATTGAAGTTCTACATGCATTCTATTTATGGAATTCACTATATTTCATGGTGCTGAGCCACGGGCAAAATTTCTGATCTATTTTCAAAGCAAAATTACATCCATTAATAATTTTTGGACGATTACTTTGATAGTATAGAATAAGTTAAGAATAGATTAGTTGGTGATAGATCTTGTAACATTTAAGGGTAGAAATTATATCTCTTCTTATAGAGAATATCCCTCTAGTATCTTTGTCCAGACGCACGTCATGATATGTACGATGTAAGGTCATCATGGCTTCTCAACGGCTCGCTTAAATGCAGTTGGTGACTATTTATGATTCATCATAAACTATAATCTCACATTTCTCTGATATACTCCCATAGAACAGCATTAAATGATTCTAGCGAGGTTAATTATAGGTGAAATAAAACTGGACCCCAGTATCGAGAGCTACCAATTTACTAGAGCTAAATTGTATCATGTTGACCCGGTTCTCAAGCAGCCTGATTTTTCGTCAGCAGTGCCTACTCTTTGATTATTAAAGTGATATATTAGTTGTTAGCGTGGCTCTAGAAAGAGGGATTTTCTTTGTCCTTATGATGTTGTAAATGACCAATTAGGGTTACAAGTAGGTATTTGAACACGATCTTACCGCTTGTACCAATGGTATTCACGTAGAATATTAGAAATTGTTTTGCGCTTATTATGTCGAAAAAAACAGCAAAAATAGATCCATCAGAGGCTAAGACTGTCAGACTCGAAAAACAGCTTGTTTCTGATAGCAGTTAGTTCAATATGTATTCCCAATATGTTTAACCGCAGAAGGAAACTGCTGCATGTGTCTTCCAAATTATAAAAATGATTGTCGTGCTTTATCGTTACCATATTGATCTCGGCCAATCGTGCATACATATAGTAATTTTCGGGAGTGTATCATGGTTAGCAATGGTTATTCTAACTTTGAGTGATTTAATAAGCACATGTGGTAAACCTCAATCCGAATATTCTTTTGCTTCAACGAGATTGACCATGCGCCTCCAAAGAACCTGAATTGAAACTGTAAAGTCTAAAAGTCAGTTTGAAGATGAAGAAAATTCTAAGAGATGCCAGAGACTAATTTCCTACAGGGTGACTAAATTAAGAGATCAAACAATTCAAAAAATGTGTTACCATATATAGCATGCTTGGTAACATTGGTAGGATACATATCTGTAACGGAAGATAAACAACAATTCAGTGCACTATATAAAAAGAAGAAAATAGTTCAACGGTTTCTTTCAATGATTGACTATGATGCTTCTCATTCATTATCAAATTCTTATGATATTAATGCCTTATTTGCAGCCGATGAGGGTATTCTCTTACGACAGAAAAGAAAAAAGTATTAATTGAACCTTCTAAATCTTATAGGAAATCGTTTAAATTCAAATTACCTGAACACTGTGTAAATTTTGCATGTCAGATGTATACTTTTGAACAACATTGTGAATTATTGCCAACATTTGACTTCTCCATGAAGCCCAATTCTGTTATACTGAGATGGTTTAGAAAAAGATTTTGTCACTCAATAATGTTACCGAGGAAATAAGAGACTAGGTACTACCAATTCAGATTTATCTATAAGTTATTGCATTGAGGCCAAGATAACTGTTGAAATTTGTGATTATCAGGAATATTTATACACTTCGGGCCATTTAAAATAAAACACTCACAAAACTAGTCAATATAGACAAAGCTTTAGTTACTCTTTATGTTATGCTCAGCAAAACCTTCGAGGAACAATTCAGTGAACAATTCAGAAGAATATATAATGATTTATTGGAAGAGCAAGAAAAAATTTATTCAAACCAAAAACGTATGCCTAATGAGAATTCATTCTCTGTCAGTAATATACAACGACTACGTATAAGAGATGAACCATATTCCCAACTGCTCGGCTAACTTTGAAGATGATGCTATGTGCAATAACATACCTACGAGTTTCTTGCTTATCAAACCCTGCTGACAGAATGACAATATCGGTAAGGTATTGACCATTTCTTCGTCCCTACCCTACAGCTATACAAATATAGGTGTACCACCCCAGGATTCCCATAGGTTAGATAAGGATTATAAGGTACCAAAAACTAGTAGTGTTTGAAATGTGGGCTCATACCCATATTTTATGAGCCAATCACACTCGGTTTAGATAATAATTTTATCGTAAGCTTCACTTGCATATTTCACTCTCTAAAGAGAAGGAGCTGCAATCACGCATCAAAGCCTCACTATAGGAAACACTCCTTTCCAATTACTAATGAATTACTATAGAATAATGGACGGCTACATTTGTCTGTGATAGTTGAATAAGGCCAAAATGAATTTGATACGCATCAAACTAGATCAAAAGCGTTTAGATTGTATTTTATTTTCCATAATAGATAGAGGTAAATCAAGGTTATATATCACTTAACTTCCCCATTTTGAACTTTGTTTCCAACAAATACATTCTTCCCGCGAGGGAGCTTTGGAATTCTGGAACCCAATGCAATTTTTCGACTATTTCGTTCCAATTGCATTTATATCTATTTTGATGGTTTTCTTAAATTCAATTCCAATTAATTATGATTTACTATTTTGAGAAAATAAATTTATAGATTGCAAGAATTATGATCAATTTGAGGAACATATTAGAAGATAATTTAGGTATTTACTTTCAAATATGGATATGGCCCTAATGAAATGAAGAATACCAATTGATCCTAGATTCAAATGTTAAGCTTGCTTGGACTATAAATATGAACGGATCCAAATTCCGAATTTAGAAGAAAATTCAAAGAATGAAATTTCCAAGATACTTCATGGGTGATATAAATGTCAATGCGATTATTTTGCACGAAAACCTCCCTTTGGGCTTATAGAGGGCTAAGAAGCCACCATTTGGCTCGATCACTAAATTATAAATGTAAGGTACTGATCTAGTTTTGTATTGAAGTTAATAAGAATAGTATTTAAGAAACTTGAAACCTCTACTCAGATTCATGAACTTTATTAGTGACTTCATTCAACATTAAAATTCGATTATCCGTCGCTCAAAAACTCTATCGATACATGATCTATTTGGACAAGAATTCCTGAATTTTGCTAACGTAATTTATTTTAGTAAGGTAAGTATTGTGTATTCCTCCATAGTGACGATACCTTATTCGATACATAAGTTGCAGTTCAGTTAGTAAGAATCAACTATGATTCCATTGAGAACACGTTCATACACAGCATTTCGAGTTGTATTTGTAGAGAAACGTTCGAAATACTACTATTAATAAAACAGACAAGGAATTAGCTTTTGTTATTTCGAGCTTTGAAAGGCACAGTCGTTTAAAGATTTCCCGATCACCTACAACATACTTAAATATAGAAAGTGCTATCTGACTTTTTATTCCGTAGAACTATCGACCCATCAATGGCCTATACTATTGCCATGCAGATTTACGTGGAACATTTATTCGGTCCCGCTTGATATCTTTAATCCCGGGGTCTGATCGTGTAGAAAGTATTGCCGGCTTTTTTTTTATGCTAACCTGTAGTTTGCCGGAAATTTGTCCCTACTATTAAATTTATCCTTCGAAGAAAATCCGACCGCCGTAGAGCTAACCGCAATATATATTTCTCCCCACTTTTTTAAAGACACTATTATATGCCTAGAACCATTTCGCTTGGAAGAACGAAAAATTCCGTAATTAATCAGTGTCCAATAATCTAATTTATTCCGTACAAGACGTTCAACCGCCGGACAAATCGTCATCTGGGTATCGCGCTACACTGCCATCTGTTTTTATCGTTAATTTATCTGTCAGTAGTGCTGAACAGCTCCTCTTTAGGAATAGACAACGGTCCGTGAAGAATGTTTATCCACTGATCCGAACGACTCCTCCCGGGATCAGCATGTATGACATAAGCAAAAGGCATAAGTTTCACTTACACGGATTATCGCGGAAAGCTTAAGTATTGGGATCCTTTTTTCTCCCGAGTTTCTCCTTGGCATTAACCCCAGATATTACTTGGTTTTGTGGCGCAACGGAAGTTCCTTTGTCCCGGGGCAATTTTTTATTGTATAGACCCCTACGTATAAATGGGTATAAATAGGTAGCTAAATCCTTCCCTTGACTATAATATATTTATTTCAAACCAAAATTAGTTTAATTAACTTCAAGAAAAAAGAAGTTTTTGCTATTATTTGTTAAAGTTAGAAGAATATATTCAATATGACACCTCCTACTGCTGTTGAATCATCAATTAACTTTGGTGGTCACCCAACTATTCACTCTACTGCTGAGCCAGTTGTGAAGCAATTATCGTTGGCTGATGATACTGTTATCCGTCACAACGCACCACCACCAACTTTATATGAAGATGGTTTATTAGAAAAAGGTACGGTTATTTCATCTACAGGTGCTTTAATGGCCTACTCTGGTAAGAAGACCGGTAGATCACCAAAGGATAAGAGAATTGTTGATGAAGAAACCTCTACACAAAATATTTGGTGGGGTCCAGTCAACAAGCAAGTCGACGAATTAACCTGGAAAATTTCCAGATCCAGAGCTTTGGACTACTTGAGAACCAGAGAAAAGTTGTTCGTTGTTGATGCATACGCTGGTTGGGATCCAAGATACAGACTCAAGATCAGAGTTATCTGTGCTAGAGCTTACCACGCTTTATTCATGACCAATATGTTGATCAGACCAACTGATGAAGAATTAAAAAACTTTGGTGAACCAGATTTCACTATTTACAATGCTGGTAAATTCCCAGCTAACGTTCACACCAAGGGTATGACATCTTCTACTTCTGTTGAAATTAACTTCAAGGATATGGAAATGGTTATCTTAGGTACCGAGTATGCTGGTGAAATGAAGAAGGGTATTTTCACTGTTATGTTCTACTTGATGCCAATTAAGCACAAGATTTTGACTTTGCATTCTTCCGCTAACCAAGGTGAACAAAAGGGTGATGTTACATTATTCTTTGGTTTATCTGGTACCGGTAAGACCACTTTATCTGCTGATCCAAACAGAAAGTTGATTGGTGATGATGAACATTGTTGGTCTGACAACGGTGTCTTCAACATTGAAGGTGGTTGTTACGCTAAGTGTTTAGATTTATCAGCTGAAAAGGAACCAGAAATTTTCAACTCTATCAAATTCGGTTCTATCTTAGAAAACGTTGTCTACGACCAAAACTCTAAGGTGGTTGACTACGCTAACTCTGCAATCACCGAAAACACAAGATGTGCATACCCAATTGATTTCATTCCATCTGCTAAGATCCCATGTTTAGCTGATGAACATCCAACAAACATTATTTTGTTAACCTGTGATGCATCTGGTGTCTTACCACCAGTCTCTAAATTGACTAATGCTCAAGTTATGTACCATTTCATCAGTGGTTACACTTCTAAGATGGCTGGTACCGAAGAAGGTGTTACTGAACCACAAGCTACTTTCTCTGCATGTTTTGGTCAACCATTCTTAGTCTTGCACCCAATGAAATACGCTCAACAATTATCTGACAAGATCAGTAAGCATAATGCCAACGCATGGTTATTGAATACCGGTTGGGTTGGTGCTTCTGCCTCTCAAGGTGGTAATAGATGCTCCTTGAAATACACCAGAGCTATCTTGGATGCTATCCACTCCGGTGAATTGAATAATGTTGAGTACGAAAACTTCCCAACTTTCAACTTGAATGTTCCAAAGTCTTGTCCAAATGTTCCATCTGAAATCTTGAACCCAACTAAGGCTTGGACCGAAGGTGATGCCTCATTCCAAAAGGAAATCAAGTCATTAGCTGGTAAGTTCGTCGAAAACTTTACCAAGTATGCTGACCAAGCTACCACTGAAGTCAAGGCTGCTGGTCCTGATGCTTAAGTCTTCAATCATTAATTTATTTACATAATTTATTTATATAGTGTTTAATTTAAATCATGGATTTTTCGTTATTATCACACAGTCTTTAATAATTACCACCTTATGGAAAATTATCAATATGGGGTTAAAGTTTTATTCATTTTAAATTTGGATGTACGGATTAATGTCCCACATATTGAACTACATCTGGATCATATTAACCCTATATTCATTTTAATCTTGCTCTACGGATTAATGCCCCGATAATGTACTACTTCGGGATCACAATCCATATCACGTGACGATAAACATCCCCCCTCAACTTTTTTATTTTTTATTATACGGCTAGAATCTAATTATGATTCGAGGTTAAATACAAAAGTTCAAGTATACATTTAATGCTGGTGAAATTCTATATGAATGAAGAAAATACGGGGACTGCATTCGTAAATATGTCATCAAATACATTTCATGAATTCGGAGTTCTTTTTGGACGTATACAACCACATTTAACTAGCCTTTTGACTATTTGTATAGGAGCATACATATTGTTCAACATATTAACACGAATTAATAATCGTATTTTGATGAAAAATCTTGGTGCAAAACCAATGCAGATGAATGCTCCCAATTCATTCTGGGGAATACCGTTAATGTTTCGGCTCTTGAAGGCCAAAAGAGAAGGAACTATGGTAGATGTGACAAAGGAAAGATACAAAGAACTCGGGGTCGATACGTTTAATGTGAATATAGCAGGGACGCATGCTATAGTTACGCGGGATCCGGAGAATATCAAGGCGATCTTGGCTACGCAATTCGATGATTTTGCTTTGGGGAAAAGACATACTCATTTCAAGCCTTTATTAGGAGATGGTATTTTCACGTTAGATGGAGCAGGATGGAAGCACTCACGGGCGATGTTGAGACCACAATTTGCTCGGGAGAAAGTTGCGCATGTAAGAGCATTAGAACCTCACTTGCAGACACTTGCCAAACACATCATAAATTTTAAGGGAGAAAGATTCGATATCCAGCCATTATTTTTTAGATTGACTATTGA